TGGGGGGCGTGTGGCGGGGGGCGTGGGGCTGGGGGGGCCCCGGGCGCCGTGCGTGACCCCCCTCCTGTCCCGCAGCCTGAAGCTGGGCGAGAACCTCGACACGCTGGGCGCGGCCGCCGCCAAGCTGAGAGAGGACGTGGCCCCCTACTACAAAGAGGTGCGGGAGATGTGGCTGAAGGACACCGAGTCCCTGCGCAAGGAGCTGACCAAGGACCTGGAGGAGGTGAAGGAGAAGATCAAGCCCTTCCTGGACCAGTTCTCTGCCAAGTGGACGGAGGATCTGGAGCAGTACCGCCAGCGCCTGGCACCCCTCGCCCAGGAGCTGAAGGAGCTCAGCAAGCAGAAGGTGGAGCTGCTGCAGCAGAAGCTGACCCCGGTGGCCGAGGAGGCGCGGGACCGCCTGCGCGGCCACGTCGAGGAGCTGCGCAAGAACGTGGCCCCCTTCAGCGATGAGCTGCGGCAGAAGCTGAGCCAGAAGCTGGAGGAGATCCGCGAGAAGGGCATCCCCCAGGCCGCTGAATACCAGGCCAAGGTGGTGGAGCAGCTCAGCAACCTGCGGGAGAAGATGACGCCCCTGGTGCAGGACTTCAAGGAGCGCCTCACCCCCTACACCGAGACCCTCAAGGCCCGTTTCCTCAGCTTGCTGGAGGAGCTCCAGAAGACCGTGGCCTGAGCTGCCGGCCGGCGCGGCCAGGGACTGAGCCCAGCCCCGCCCCGCAGCCGCCCTGGGCGCTCCCTGCCCTGCCCCGGGCACTTCTCCTCAGGGGCTCCGGGGGCAGGCTGCAGGAGCCCCGGGCCAGCCCGGCCCTAGGGTGTCCTCCCCGGAGACCCCCTCTTCCCCTAGAATTCCCTCCCCAACCCGGCGTCGCTCTCAGCTTTGCCTCCCTTTTGAGAAATAAACTTGACTTAAGTTATTGGAGCTCGCTCAGTCTTTGCAGTGGATGCTGGAGGGGGAAAGGGGTGCTCTGAGCTGGGGGTACTGGGGGACCCAGAGGGACTGGGGAGACAGGGAGCTGGTGAGGGGTGCCCGGGGCTGGTGAGGGGTGCCCTGCACTCACCCAGTACTGAGTCCAGCTCTGCCCGAGGTGCAGCCGAGCTCAGCCCCACACAGGGCGCTGGGGAGTGTGGCACTGAATTTGCAGGAGTTTTTGGAAGCAGCACCCGGCTCCTGCCACCCTGGGCACCCCGACACGGCCGTGTGTACCCCAGTGCTGGTGTCTGTCCCAGCCTCCGCTCCCCCCGCGGGTCCCACTGCTCCTTGCCAGCCCCAGTGATGCCACCACAGCGTTTGCGTCAGCCCCGCTTTATTGAGAGCACCGCGACAGCGGGTGGGGGTCCGGGGGGGGTCCCCGACAGACCCCGGGCAGCCCCTGGCGAGGCTACGCGGGCGGAGTCTTCTTCAGGAGCTCGGCCAGCTGCTGCTTGAGCCACACCAGCCGCTGCTTCGCCAGCTCCGCGCTGTCCGACAGCCACTGCCTGCACCGGGAGGGGAGCGGAGCGGAGGAGAGGGCAGGGGGTCAGCGCGGGGCCCTGGCCGGGCTCCAGCGGCACCGGGGAAGGGGACAGGGACACGGACAGGGACACGGACGGGGACAGGAACGGGGACAGGGCTGGCGGGGTTCAGGGGCACCTGGCCTGCTGCGCCGCCTCCGACTCCCGCACCCTGCTGAAGGCGTCCTTGGCCATGGCCGTGGCTTTCTGGGCCAGCTCCTGCACCTTCTGCACCAGCGCCTTCGGCTCCTCGGGCGAGTCGGCCCCTGCAAAAGCGAGCCCCTGGTGGGACGGGGGGCACGGGGCCCCGCGGCTGCGCCCCCCGCGTGTGCCCCCAGCGCCTGAGCCCCCAGCCCTCCTCCTGTGCAGACCCCGGCCCTTACTTGCTCCCACCGCCAGGAAGGCCGTGCAGGCCAGCAGGAACAGCAGCGACGCCTTCATGGCTGGGGAGAGAGCAGAGCGCACGTTGTGGGGCGGCAGGGGGGCACGGGGGGGTCCCGAGCCCGTCCCCTTGCCAGCACGACCCTCTCCAGGGATGTCCCCGCTCACCTGTGCCGGGCTCTGACGCGGGGGCAGCCCCGGGCTCCCTCTTTATAGCCTCTGGGGGATTCGTGCAAAGGTCAGGGCAGGGCGCGGGGGGGCTGCAGGGGCGCTGCGTCCAGCCAGGAGTTGGGAAATCCCGCGGGGACGGAGCCCGCTGGGGCCCCGCGTGTCTGTGCGGGTGTGCCCGGAGCCGGGCAGCGCGGCGGGGGCACACGCGTGTGCGCAGCCAGCCCGATGCCCGCGGAGGGGCAGCCCTGGGCACGCACGGCACAAGGGTGACATCCAGCGGCCCTGTCCCCGGGCACGACGCCCTCGGGCACCGCGAGGCTCTTCGGACCTTGCCACTGTCCCCGCCACCGCCTGGCCGGTCCCTGCCCCTGCCCGCCGCGCCCTTTGCCCGCAGTGACACATCGGCGCGGCTCCGCTGTCCCCGGGGGGGTGGGCTGGGCCGGGGGCTGCCCCCCGGGTGTGTGCCCAGAGCCCGGTGCCCACGGCCGGGGCACGAACGGGGCCCAGCGGCATTCCCAGGCACCGTGTGGCTGCAGTGCCCTGCAGTGTTCCGGCCTCTTCCTGTGCCAGGGCTCCTTCCAGGAGCCTGGACCGGGAAGGAACGATGGCATCCCGCCTGTGTACAGCCTCGTGTGTCCCCCGGCTCCATCACAGCCCCCCCCGAGCCCGTGTCCTGCCCTGAGCCCGTGTCCTGCCCGGCCCAGCCCGGCCGGTGGCAGAGCTGGGAGGTCCCTGCAGCATCCCCAGCCCCCGTGTCCTGTCACGCTGCCACCCATCCCACAACCACACACGGCAGGTACTGCCCTGCCAGAGCCACTGCCGCAGCCACAGAGCACTGAGGGGTCCCCAGCCCAGGTCCCTGTCCCCAGGAGGGGCTCGGGGTGTCCTGTGTACCCCCACCCCGTCTGTGCCTGTCACCCCCCGGGGGCTGGCGGGGCCATGGGTGATGCCAGGGCTCTGGGTGATGTCAGGCCCGAGCACACGTCAGGCACTTCCACGTTGTGCCCGTGCTAAAGTCCAAGCCCTTGCTGTGTCACAGCCTGCGTGGAAGCGCTCGGGCTGCATAAATAGAGCTGGGAGCTGCCGGCTCTGCAGCTACCGCGGCACTGGCAGCACAGGTGAGGGCTGCAG